CAATGGCTGCACCCAGTTTTCCCAGATGGGCAAGAGGACGCTCTGATCAAATGCCAAAGCGGTATCGGCGTGGTGGTTTGCGCTGCAACGCAGCTCACGCTGACCGGACACCTGACCCAGCGGCTGATAGAGGCTCACTACCAGCGGATTTTTCCAGGTCAGGTTGCGAGAAGCGTACGTCGAATCAACGGCTGAATGGCAAGCGGCGAAACGCCTGCGGTAACCAGTCGGGAAGCCTTCGGGAAATCCGCCAGCAAGTTGGTGCCGTGCGCTTCGCCGAAGTTTTCCAACCAGACCCGACTTAGTCGTCCCGCCATAGCGGCACACGCTTGAATCACTTGTTGCTCAAGAAGTTATAGTCAACTTCTCTCCCCATATTGATCAGTCGAGGGAGAATAAACTGCACTCGAGCTAAAACAGACTCAGAAAAACAGTCCAAAACTCACAGGCTGCTGCTCCTACCGCCGCCATCAATACCTGCTGGATTTTTGGCGAATTTCAGTGGAATAGATCTCTCGAGGCACGTAAGTCAGGCAATAGAAAAAACGGTCATATGGATCAGTTCGAAAAAAGCACGAACTTTGAAGCGCTCTTGAATCTGCGCGATGGAAATGACAGTAGGAAGCAGCTCGTCCACGGTGCTCTGATACAAATCGTCTCTAGGTAGTGCTTCAAGGATTCTTGCAAGCTCCTGCCCCAAATGGCTCTCAGCACCATAACCTGAGCGCTCTTCGACCTGTGCAACCTTCAAGCGGATACATGGTATATCGCGCACGCTTTGCCCATGAGAATAGAAAAAGACCTATAAATCGGTGTTCTCCTAACGACATTTCCACCTGAATCAATTTCTCTTAAAGAAACGTAATCTGCATAGGTGGAGCGTCTGGCACGACTGAGATAGGAAGATTTGGCAAAAGAGAGCAACAAAGAAGCAGTAAGGAACTTCTAACTTCTGGTAAAACTTTCAAATCTTTACTATCCAGGCCTGAATGCAACCTGCGGCTGACACCTAAGAATGAGGATTCATCATACTGAATGTGGCCCGACGAGACGCCATTGATTACCTTGAACTCTTCGTAGCCTAAAAAAAGTGAAGTGGCATTTGAGCATCCAATCGAAGAAAGCTTTCGTTTCCGTCAACCTCTGAGGCTTGAGCGTTTGGGTCGAACCTTCCCAGAGAACCACGAAGTTCGTTGATCTTGGCCTTCATAGGTACGAGATCAGCATCTACAAGCCTAACCTCTTCAAGCACTTCTACCAATGCGGCTTCGATCAATCGGAGTTCACTTGAACTTGAACAACGATCAATCTCGAAAAAAGCAACTACAGTTTTGGATGAGCCGCAGACATCAGAGGGCTGGGTGGATAGCCCCACCGCTTTTCCGGTTTTATCAAGCTCGAGACAAAATACAGCGGTCTGCAGAGTGTGAATATTGTATCCACGGTTATTCAATTCCATTCGAATTGAGTTAATTAGAAATGGAGTTTGAGGACAAACCATCTCTACTACAGTATGCGGTGACTGCCAACCATGCCGCTCGAAATCCGGGTTATATGCCCGGACTGCTTGAGTCTTGGCGTCATGCTGCATGAGCATCCGCCATGAAGAAATTGTTGCTCCCGCCAGATCAGATATTCGACGTTCCTTCAGTTCCTCCAACGCCGCAAAGCTATAAAACTGATCAGCAAACTGCACAATTTGGTTTATCTCGTCATCATTGACGTATTGCCCCAGAGCTCGGTGCAACTGAGACTTCAAATTATTTTCACTGATAACAGATACACTGTTCATAGCTTGGCCTACGAGGAGAAGTGTTGAAATGCGACTGAATGGGAGGAATCGATAACCGGTCTCGACATCCTTAGAGCGGCGCTAACCCAGATCGAACTCTAGAGAACGAGCCTAGCGAGCACGCGCCACATCAGATCCATTTATTACAGTATGACTCTCAAACATTGGCCTGCATGGTAGAGAGAATCCTCCTTCATAGAATGCACTCCGCAAGCCAGCACTATGGATCGGCTTCATTTCCGAAAACGGAATAGGCAATTCATCCGCTAGATCTTTTATCAAGTAATCAGCCAAAGCCTTGCCAACTACAGTACCAGTTGTGTTCCCGCGTCCGTTATATCCAGTAACCGCCACAATACCAGGAGCAGGCTCGAACAAGCGCATCAAATGATCAGGGGTAAAAATCAATACATCCCGTCCAATGCATTTCCCACTCTATTTTTCCCAGTCTAGGAAAGTAGTGCGTCTGTATTCTATCCGCCCAACTTTTTATAAACCAAGCGGGTTTGTTATCTGTCCTTCCCATGCTGCCAAGCAGCAGCCGTCCATCTGCATCTCTGCGAATGCTGCTTAATACTAATCGGGTGTCCCAGGAGCCTTGACCATGCCTCAGCACGTTATCAGCTTCAGGGCCCTCTAGAGGTTTCGAGGCCACCTGGTAGTAATAGCCACGGAAATAGTTTTTCTGCAGCTCAGACCAGTCACCTTCAGTATATGCGCCTGTCGATATCACTATTTTGTCCGCGACAACAACGCCATTAGCGGTCTTCACCAACCATGCACTGCTCTGCTTTTCCAAATGAGTGACAGCAGAGTTCTGGAACACTCGACCACCAAGTTGCTCAACGGATTGGGCCAACCCAGTGGTGTAACCCATAGGATTGATGGTGCCAGCGCGACGATCCAACAAAGCCGATGAAATTTGATCCGTGCCACAGTACTCTTGGCATTTAGACCCGGTCAGTAGTTCAACATCCGCCCCTCGACGTTTCCATTGATCGTGACGTGCCTGCAGGTCAGCTGCGCCTGCAGCATTATGGGCCATGTGAAGAGTGCCATCGTTACGCGCTTGGCAATCAATGCCTAACCTTTTTATGGTGGCAAAAACTTGAGTAGGTGCTTCTCCGAGAACCTTATTGAGACGCCCCCAACCTTAGCGCCGAGCGTCGCTTCCACGTCATCTGGTCTGATCCAGGTACCGGCGTTAACCAAGCCAACGTTGCGTCCAGATCCACCGTGGCCAACCAGATGGGCCTCAAGTACCGCAACGCTCTTGCCTTTCTCGAGCAAATTCAGCGCAGCAGAGAGTCCAGTAATACCACCACCAATAACGCAGACGTCCACCTTGATAGTACTTGTCAGGGCGATTGGTGATGCCTGCTTAGGAGTTACATGCTCCCAGAGACACTCTCGACGTAACTCAACCATATAATCAACCTCTCTACTGCTAACCTGCAGCGAAATATCTCTATTTATAAAACAAGAACTTCTGGAATCAAGCTTCCGCGCCCAGCGAATTCAGCCACTCGCCTTGGGCCAAGAGGATCATCGGTACGAAGCTTGATTGTCCTGAGATGGGCCCGGAGCAATCCAAAGATCAGGGATAGCCAGCAAGAAAAAAAATACCTGTAGCGAGAGGAGAATGCGGCTTGCAATCGTCGGAAAGAAAAAGATGCACCATTTGAATAAAAGTGACAGCGAACAGCGTAGCGATTGCCATCCATAAAGGAACATTCGCCCTCGTCGCCTTTGGAAGTGTCCAAGGTCACGCCTCACTAACAATTATGGCGGCAGATCCAAATATCACTAACATGTCATTAGCCCTTTATCATTTTCCATCGATTTTCAGGCGATTATTCATTTTCGTCGGAGCTTGACGAACTCCTATCGGGTTATTCATTTGCATCCTTCAACGGCAATCTTTTCTCCTATAGACCAAACTCCCCACGCCAGTCAAACCGACGCAGGGAGCAATCTAGATCAATCGAAAACGATGCCCTGAGCCAGTGGCAGCTCGCGAGAATAGTTAACAGTATTGGTCTGACGACGCATGTAGGCTTTCCAGGAGTCCGAACCAGACTCACGGCCGCCCCCGGTTTCTTTCTCGCCGCCGAATGCACCGCCAATTTCGGCACCACTTGTGCCGATGTTGACGTTGGCGATACCGCAATCACTGCCGGATGCGCTCTGGAAGCGCTCGGCTTCACGAACGTCCAAAGTGAAGATGCAGGACGACAGGCCTTGCGGAACCTCGTTGTTCAGACGAAGCGCGTCTTCAAACTCGTCATACGCCAACACGTACAGAATCGGTGCGAAGGTCTCGTGACGAACGACTGCGGACTGGCCTGGCATTTCTACAATGGCCGGCGAGACGTAATAGGCATTTGGATACTGATCCTGCAGCTGGCGCTCACCACCAAAGACCTGACCACCTTCGTCTCGCGCTTGATTCAAAGCACCTTGCATCGACTCGAATGCATGCTTATCAATCAAAGGCCCAATCAGATTGTCCTTACGTGGATCACCGATACGCACCTTGGCGTAAGCCGCTTTCACGCGAGCAACAACCTCATCTTTGATCGAGCGGTGCACGATCAAACGACGCAGCGTCGTGCAGCGCTGACCAGCGGTACCCACAGCACTGAACAAGATGCCACGCACTGCCAAATCAAGGTCTGCACTAGGCGCCAGGATCATGGCGTTGTTGCCGCCGAGCTCGAGAATGCTTCGACCAAAACGAGCTGCCACTCGTGGGCCTACTTCACGCCCCATGCGAGTACTGCCCGTAGCACTAATCAGCGGAATGCGTGGATCATCAACGAGAACTTCACCAGCCTCACGATCACCAATGATTAGCTGGCTAAGACCTTCTGGAGCCTGAGCGAAAATTTTCAGTGCCTGCTCAAAAAGCGCCTGACATGCCAAGGCAGTCAGAGGAGTTTTCTCGGACGGCTTCCACAACACAGAGTTGCCGCATACCAGTGCTAGGGAAGTGTTCCAAGCCCATACTGCAGCAGGGAAGTTAAACGCGCTGATAACACCAACGACGCCTAGAGGCTGCCAAGTTTCACGCATGTGATGACCCGGGCGTTCAGAAGCGATGGTCAAACCATACAGCTGACGAGACAAACCAACTGCGAAATCGCAGATGTCGATCATTTCCTGAACTTCGCCCAGACCTTCCTGGAAGATCTTGCCAGTTTCGACCGACACCAATTCACCCAGCTGATCTTTGTTCTTACGCAGAACCTCGCCGAACACCCTAACCAACTCACCACGACGCGGTGCCGGTACGTCGCGCCAAGCCAAGAAGGCCTGATGAGCAAGATCGATCTTCTTAGCGACGGCAGCTTTGCCTTCTAAAGTAACGGAAGCGATCTGACTACCATCGATAGGTGTATGAATGGGATAACCGCCATTCGTGAATGTAGCCTCAGAAACGCCAAGGCCTTTAAGCAGTCCATCAACCATTTTTTTCTCCGCAACTGGTGGTGGTTGAAATTATTGATCTGGGTCAGTATTAATCCGATCCCTAACTCCAACAAACGACGTTTACTCAGCACATCATTCCCTGAGCTAATGAAGTTGCTTCTAACCAGATCGAGAGAGATATGTCCAAACGTCTTACTCCCTCCATGGCAGCCCTTCAGTGCTTCGAAGCTGCGGCTCGTCACTTGAGCTTTACTCGAGCAGCCGAAGAGCTACATCTCACCCAAAGCGCTGTTAGCAAGCAGGTTGCCCAGCTAGAAGAAATGTTGCGTCACCACCTTTTCCACCGCGTACGGCGACGCCTCCAGCTCACTCCCGCCGGTGAGCTTTACCTTGCAGAAGTCGACAAAATATTGACCCAGGTAGACATGTCGAGTCGGTACATTCTTTCGTACGGAGGCGAGACCGAAGTCCTTCGGGTGGCAACCCAACCCACCTTTGGCGCACGCTGGCTAGTGCCAAATCTAAAGGGGTTCAGTAAAAGATTTCCCAATATCCATCTCGACATTCGCAGCGAACTTGAGCCTTTCGACCTTCTAAAAGCAAAGGCGGATATCGCTTTTTTCTTCGGTCAGGGCTCGTGGCCAGGAGCTGTTTGCACAAAGCTTTTCGGAGAAGATGTTGTTCCTGTGTGCGCCCCAGAGGCACTTGCCCATAAATCGATCAAGAGCGCAGCCGATTTAACTGACCTTGTCCTTCTGCAATGCACCTCTCGACCTGAGGCTTGGCACGAATGGTTTCTTGAGCAAAATCTCCATACCGAAAACAGCTATCACGGCCCACGCTTCGACACGTTCTACATGTGTATACGCGCTGCCCAAGCTGGTTGCGGAGTAGCTCTGGTACCGAAATTCCTTGTCACTGATGAGATCGCAGAAAAGAAATTAGTCGTTGCTTGGGACTATTCCGTCCATAGCACCGGATCACATTTCATGGCCTATTCAGAGCACGCGGCTGACATTCCGAAGATACGAAATTTTGTCGAGTGGGTAGTGGAGCAAGCCAAGCTCGGGAACTACCCAATTTGACCCTTCAAGAGTTTACGGAATGACTCTGTAATTTCTTTTCGCTTGTCGTTACACAGCATTCCTCGCTTACATAGAAAAAAATCTATGCAGCCAGGAACACCAAAATGCGAATTCTTGCTACGCGAAACTGCCGAGTAACAACACCGATTAGCTTGAAGTTCTCAATTCATTCTTACCAGAAAAACTGTAGCGATAGCCTCCCGATTGAATCTATGGAGAACGTGTAGTCATGACACAGTCCTCCATTAGCGAATCTATCGCAATTGTCCATCCGATTACGTTGAGCCATGGCATCAACGCCCAGGTGTGGGATACAGACGGCAAGCGTTACATCGATTTCGTAGGCGGAATTGGCGTTCTGAACCTGGGCCACTGTAATCCACGGATTGTCGAAGCGGTGTGCAGCCAAGCCTCAAGGTTAACGCACTACGCCTATAACGCCGTGCCTCACGAACCCTACAAGAAACTGATGGCCCGACTGGCCGAGTTTATCCCCGTGTCCTATCCGGTCAGTGGCATGTTGACCAACAGTGGCGCAGAGGCAGCAGAGAATGCGCTGAAAATTGTGCGTGCTGCTACCGGTCGTACTGCGGTCATTGCATTCGATGGTGGCTTTCATGGACGAACTTTGGCTACCTTGAATTTGAACGGGAAAGTAGCGCCGTACAAACAGCGTGTTGGCACCCTGCCAGGCCCTGTTTTTCACCTGCCCTACCCGAGTGAAGACACCGGTGTGACGACAAAGGAAGCACTCAATGCGATGGATCGGCTGTTCAGCGTCGAGATCGACGTCGAAGAAGTCGCCTGTTTCATTCTCGAACCTGTTCAAGGTGAAGGCGGATTTCTTGCACTAGACCCTCAGTTTGCACAAGCGCTTCGTAGATTTTGCGACGAGAAAGGCATTCTTTTAATCGTTGATGAAATTCAATCGGGATTCGGTCGTACCGGCCAACGCTTTGCTTTCACACGACTAGGCATCGAGCCCGATTTGATCCTGCTAGGTAAAAGCATTGCCGGCGGTCTTCCGCTGGGTGCTGTCGTCGGTAAAAAGCAACTGCTCGACACCTTGCCAAAGGGTGGCCTGGGTGGGACTTATTCAGGCAACCCAATAGCGTGCGCTGCTGCGCTCGCCACGTTAGACGAGATGACAGACGCCAACCTTTCCTCTTGGGGTGAGTACCAGGAAAAGGCAATCGTCAGTCGGTATCTGGCATGGCAACAAAAGAAGCTCTCTCCTTATCTCGGAAGGCTGACCGGGGTTGGAGCGATGAGAGGTATTGAGCTGATAACTCCTGAAGGAGCGCCAGCTACGTCGGTATTAGCACAGCTACTCGGAAGCGCCAGACAGAACGGCCTGCTTCTGATGCCCAGCGGAAAATCTCGCCACATCATCCGACTGCTGCCACCGCTGACTACCGATCCTGAAATCTTGAACGAAGGTCTCGATATTTTCGAGAGCTGCCTGGCTGGAATTCTCTAAGACATGATCGCCCAGATTGCTGCACCGGTAGAGCTCACAAGGATCTATCGCACTTTCCTCGACTCGCTCCTTGCGCAAGGTTTTAAGGGAGAAGTAACTCCTGACTACGCCAACCGTACGGTGCTCGCGACCGACAATTCGATCTACCAGCGCTTGCCACAAGCAGCGCTGTTTCCCCGAGATGTCGATGACATCCAGATACTGACTCGGCTTGTTGCGCAGAAGGAATTTCGGCAAATCGTTATTACCCCGCGAGGCGGCGGTACTGGCACAAATGGGCAATCCTTAACACACGGCTTGATCGTCGACCTTTCGAAGCATCTCAATCAAATTCTGGAAGTCAACGTCGAAGAGCGCTGGGTTCGAGTACAGGCTGGAGTGGTCAAAGACCAACTCAACGCGGCCTTGAAACCTCATGGTTTGTTCTTTGCGCCGGAGCTTTCAACATCGAATCGGGCCACTATCGGCGGTATGATCAACACTGATGCTAGCGGGCAAGGTAGCTGCACGTATGGCAAAACCAGAGATCATGTTTTAGAGCTCAAGAGCATGCTATTGGGTGGCTACTCGCTTCACAGCAAGCCCCTCAATGACGGCGAGCTCCAAAGGTTCATTGCGGCTCCAGGTATCGTTGGCCAAGTACATCGGTGCGTGACTGACATTCATACGGAACATCGGGAGCTCATCGACAAAACGTTTCCAAAGCTCAATCGTTGTCTGACCGGTTATGACTTGGCGCACATTCGCGACGAGCGTGGACTGGTCAATCTGAACAACATTTTGTGTGGTTCTGAAGGATCGCTGGGCTTCGTAGTGGAAGCCAAACTCACCGTTTTGCCCATTCCCAAATTCTCAACACTCATCAATGTTTCCTACGCGAGCTTCATGGAAGCTTTACGCGACGCGCGTGCGCTGATGGCCCTCAAACCGCTGTCCATTGAAACGGTGGATTCCAAAGTACTAGGCCTCGCAATGCAGGACATTGTTTGGCACGACGTGGCTGAGTACTTTCCGCCCAATCCAAGCCGACCGACCTTGGGCATCAATCTCATCGAGTTCAGCGGCGACGACGCATATGCCCTGGAAGCCACCGTTAACGACTTCCTTGCACACTTGTCCTCCGACAAAAGCGTTGAGCGAATCGGTCATACGTTAGCCAAAGGCGCACAAGCCATTTCTTGCGTTTACTCGATGCGAAAGCGTGCTGTTGGTCTGCTTGGTAACGTGAAAGGCGAGATTCGTCCTCAACCATTTGTAGAGGACACGGCAGTACCACCAGAAAATCTAGCTGACTTCATTACTGAATTTCGGGCACTGCTGGATTCGCACAATCTGCAATATGGAATGTTCGGCCATGTCGACGCAGGCGTACTCCATGTCCGACCTGCTCTAGATATGAAAGATCCGATTCAAGCGTCTCTGGTGCGTTCGGTTTCTGACGGCGTTGCGGAGCTGACTCAAAAGTACGGAGGCTTATTGTGGGGCGAGCACGGAAAAGGTGTTAGGTCGGAATACGCGCCAAAATTCTTTGGCAAGCTTTACCCCGTCCTGCAGCAGTTGAAGACCGCCTTCGACCCATACAACCAACTCAATCCTGGAAAAATTGCGACGCCACTCAACAGCAATGAGCAACTCCTCAAGATTGACGAAGTGCCTATGCGGGGCGAGTACGACCGTCAAATCGATGAGCGAGTCTGGCAAAGCTTCGAGAGCGCCGTGCACTGCAATGGAAATGGAGCTTGCTACAACTTTGATCCCAATGATGCGATGTGCCCCTCTTGGAAGGCCACAAGGGAACGCGTCCACTCACCGAAAGGACGTGCATCGCTGATACGCGAATGGCTAAGAATCCAAGGCAATGCTGGTATCGACGCTCTCAAAGTGGCGCAGCATGCGAAAGACGGAAGCACCGTGGTCAGCCTGCTGAGAAAGTTAAAGACTAGCTTCCAGTCGCGAGGCATCGAGGATGATTTTTCCCATCAGGTTTTCGATGCAATGTCGGGATGTTTGGCCTGTAAATCTTGTGCCGGCCAGTGCCCCGTAAAAGTAAACGTTCCTGAGTTTAGGTCTCGTTTTTTGGAGCTTTACCACACGCGCTACTTCCGCCCGCTCAAAGACTATTTGATTGGATCCTTGGAGTTCACGGTACCCTATTTTGCAAGAGTACCCTGGTTCTACAACGCCCTTATGAGTGCGAAGCCAGTCAGCCTTTTTCTGAAGAAGTACGGGGGTATGGTAGACAGCCCATTGCTCAGCAACATAAGTTTGGCCGAAGCGCTCAAAAAAGCGAAAGTTAAAATCGCTACGTCAGAGACGCTCTCATCACTGACTGATAGCGAGCGCAAACGAAGCGTAATTTTGGTACAGGACGCCTTCACCAGGTACTTCGAAACCCAAGTGGTATCGGACTGGATTGAACTGATATCTAAGATCGGATACCACATTTACCTGGCTCCATTTTCGCCAAACGGAAAGCCCCTCCAAGTTTTAGGCTTTTTGGGAGCGTTTGAAAAAACAGCTAGAAAAAGTTCGGCCAAGCTGAGCGAGTTGGGCAAATTTGGTATCCCCTTGGTAGGTCTGGATCCCGCAATGACGCTTGTCTACCGCCAAGAGTATTCGAAGCTATCAGCTGAGAACGCTTGCCCGATGGTATTTTTGCCACAGGAATGGCTTGCCAAAATTTTCGAGGTTGGATCGCCGGTGATAAACAATCGCGCAGCTTCCCAAGCCCCCTACTTGCTAATGGCTCATTGCACCGAAAAAACGAACACCCCTGCAAGCACTGCCCTTTGGCAAACAGTTTTTGAAAAGTTCGGCATGAAGCTGACTGTCTTGGCTACAGGTTGCTGCGGGATGTCCGGTACCTACGGTCACGAGTCGAAAAACTACGACACCTCCAAAAAAAATATATGGTCTGTCGTGGCAACCTGCCGTGGACAAACACAAAGCCAGCGGAAAGCTTCTGGCCAATGGTTACTCCTGCCGGAGCCAGGTGAAGCGATTTGGGGATGAAAAAATAAACCATCCTGTCCAAGCGCTCCTAGCCCATATCAAATCCTAAAGCAGCTTGATGAGAGTTGTCCTAAATGCACCCTCTGCGAAAGTGCCTTCACGATGAACTTCATGCGCGGCCATCAATTTATTTTGACGGCCCTGCAATCATTTATCACCTAGCAATTCTTGATGACGGTAACTCTGCCAATGAAATAATCGAAACGCTTTCATCATATTGTGAGCTGGGCACACCGAACATATCCACACGGCACCAACTCATGAGAATCGACGGCTTTTCATTCAAATGGGAGTGGCATACCGAATTTCTGACTATGACCTTGGTAGTGCCACGAACTGAAACATTCGATGGCTGGACAACCGTCCCTGGTTTCCTCGAACAAATAATCACGCAACACAGAGCACTGGTAATCAATGCAACCCAGATACTGGTCGAGGAAGCGCGCAATTGGTTAGGTGTGCCTCAGTCCTACGGTTTCAAGGATCCTGCAAGCTCTAATATCAACAACGGAGATGCATCAATCTGGAGCGATTTTCGCCTCGATGCCGACGGTTTTAATCACATCCTATTGGTGAACAGTAATTTAAACGCCTTTCGACTAGGGCGCAGCATCCGCCGGCTGCTTGAAATCGAGACATACCGAATGCTTGCCTCTCTAACCTTGCCCCTTGCACAGGAGATCAGTGTCGAGCTTCAGATTTTCGAACGAAACCTGGCAACGCTTGCTCAAAAAAACTCATCGATATGCAGTGGTTCTGCTCGAATATTATTGGACGAAATTACATTGCTTTCAGCCGAACTAGCCAACCGCACAGCGAAAACTAGGCAGCGTTTTAGTGCCACGGAAGCTTACTCACTCATTGTCTTCGAACGGGTTTCAGAACTGCGTGAGAGCTGCGTAAAGGGCTACCAGCAAGTGGGAAAGTTTATCGAACGACGCTTCCGACCCGGTGTTCGCTACTGCGAAGCGACAGAAAAACGCTTGGAACGCATAGCTGCCAGTGTCTCCAACCTTGGAGACCTGCTGCAAGCTCGGGTGCAAGTCGAAGTAGAGGAACAAAACTCCAAAATTCTTGCCGCGCTTGATTTGAGAGCAATGACGCAAATAAAAATTCAGAAGGCTGTTGAAGGCTTCTCAATTATTGCAATCAGCTATTACCTGATCAGCGTGCTAAAAATAATCTGCGAAACACTATCGTCTTTAGGCGTGTCCATCGCGCCCCGAATAGTCGTTTCTCTGTTGATTCCATTAGTTATAGGAATAGTTCTACTTATAGCTAAGAGACTAAAACGCGCGACAGCTTAAAAAGCTAGACCGCGTCGAAGACTGCTACACCACTTCGATAGCTTAGGGAATGAAATTCTGAGCAAACATCGTTTGTACCTATACACGATGATGCGCAGAATTCAGGGTACAGAACTCATTATTTTGAGTTCGACCGTCCATGTCACACGTAGATATTCAGCAAGGAGTTCCATTGATGAACACCCCAGGTTTCGTCGAATTAGACGAAATTCGCACCCAATTTTCCCGCGCCATGTCTGAAATGTACAAGGACGAGGTACCTCTTTACGGAACACTCATGGAGCTTGTCGCCGAAACCAACAGTAAAGTGCTGGAGTCGAACAAGGCCGTTTCTGACCATCTGAATCGGACAGGGGAAATTGAGCGTTTAGACATGGAGCGTCATGGGGCTATCCGCGTTGGCACTCCTGAAGAGCTGGCTACCATTGCGCGACTGTTCGCCGTGATGGGTATGCAGCCAGTCGGCTACTACGATCTGACCCCTGCCGGTGTTCCAGTGCACTCCACCGCATTTCGTGCCATCCATGAAGATTCATTGCAGGCTAGTCCGTTCAGGGTTTTCACATCACTCCTGCGTCTTGACTTGATTGAAGACAAAGAGCTTCGAAAACTTGTTCAGGAAATCCTGGATCAGCGTCAAATTTTCACTCTGAACGCTTTAGCGCTCATCAAGAAGTTCGAAACCAACGGCGGCCTTAATGCTAAGGATGCCAGGGACTTCATTCAGGAGGCCCTAGAGACATTTCGCTGGCATCACGATGCGACAGTAACGGCAAAAGAATATCAGCGCCTGCATGATCAACACAGGCTCATCGCCGACGTTGTTGCGTTCAAAGGCCCGCATATCAATCACCTTACTCCTCGTACTCTGGACATCGACATGATCCAGGATGGGATGCCTCAAAAAGGAATTACACCGAAGGCCGTTATTGAAGGGCCTCCACGTCGTAAATGCCCAATTTTGTTACGCCAGACAAGCTTCAAAGCTCTGCAAGAAGTTATCGCTTTCACTGACCAAGACGGTAGTGCCAAGGGTAGTCATACGGCTCGATTTGGGGAGATTGAACAACGAGGGGCCGCACTTACACCAAAAGGTCGCGCCCTGTACGACACCCTACTCAACGCTGCACGCTCAGAGCTGGGTGAGTTCCCTTCCGAATCCAACGCAGAAAAATACACCGAGCTCCTGGCAAAGAACTTCAAAGAATTTCCAGACAGCTACGCTGAACTGCACGACAAGGGTCTTGCCTACTTCCGCTATTTCCCAACCCCAAAAGGCATTGCATCCCGAAGTAACAGTTATCGCCCAAATTCGCGTCAAGAGCTCATTGAGCAGGGTCACATTCAATACGAGCCCCTTGTATATGAAGACTTCCTGCCAGTAAGCGCGGCAGGCATCTTCCAATCGAACCTTGGCGATGATTCCCAAGCCCATTACGCCGGCAGCTCAAATCAGGAGGAGTTCGAAAAGGCACTGGGTCAAAAAGTCACCAACGAGCTAAAGCTCTACGCTGATACCCAACGCCGCTCTTTGCTGGAATGCTCAACCATTCTGGCGGTTCCCCCTCTCGTCTAGATTCGACTCATGAACGGCAAACCATGGTTTGCCGTTGTTCTTTGATCGAACGAATCATTACCAGCCAGAAATCGAACGACTTACCTCTTTACACCGCACCATTCGACTCAGGAGATAACAATGAATAAAACCATTTCTCGTCGTAGCGGGGGTCAAATTTTGGTGGATGCTCTGCGCATCCATGGCGTGAAAAGAGCTTTCTGTGTACCTGGAGAAAGCTACCTCGCGGTTCTCGATGCTCTGCATGATGTTCAGGAAGAAATCGACCTGGTCGTATGCCGTCAAGAAGGTGGTGCGGCTTACATGGCCGAAGCCTATGGCAAACTGACTGGAGAGCCAGGCATATGCTTTGTCACCCGAGGCCCTGGGGCTACAAACGCCTCTGTTGGCGTTCACACAGCGTACCAAGACTCATCGCCGATGATTCTATTCATTGGCCAAGTAGCTCGCGATCAACAGTATCGCGAAGCCTTTCAGGAAGTGGATTTTCGCCAGATGTTCGGCCCCTTGGCGAAATGGGTCGTACAAATCGACGACACAAGCAGAATTCCGGAGCTGATCAGCCAGGCATTCCACCGAGCAGTCAATGGCAGGCCAGGGCCAGTAGTGGTTGCACTGCCGGAAGACATTCTGACCGAAATGGCGGAAGTCAGTGATGCTGGCCCCTACAAACGAGTTCTGATGACACCAGCAGCCGAGCAAATGACCGCCATGCTGCAACTACTTGAGCAATCAGAGCGACCATTGATGGTGCTGGGTGGCAGCGGCTGGGACGCAGAATCAGTGCACGACATTCGGCTCTTCGTTGAACAGCAAGACATCCCGGTTACGGCTTCCTTTCGCTGCCAAGATCTTTTCGACAATCGACACCCCAACTATGTGGGAGACCTTGGATTCGCCGCTTCAGCGCAGCTGTCATCAGCGGTCAGAGATGCAGACCTTTTTACTGGTAGTCGGTTCTCGAATGGGCGAGGTTTCGACAGGTGGATATGCTGCTTTGGAGATCCCGGTACCTAAACAAACCTTAATTCATATTCACCAAGGTATCGAGGAGCTTGGACGGGTTTACCAACCTACGTTGGCCATAAACAGCAGTATGTCGACCTTTTCTAAATCAGCAGCAAAGCTCCCAACAGCTAACCCTCAAAGAAAGAGCGAATGGACGCGTACGCTGAACAGCTACTATCAGCAAAACCTGAAGCCGACTCCCTCCCCTGGCAGCGTCCAAATGGCCGAAATCATCGAGTGGCTAAGTCGAAGACTTCCAGACAACGCGATCTTAACCAATGGCGCTGGAAACTATGCCGTCTGGCTTCAACGCTTCTATCAGTTCCGCCAATACCGTACCCAGCTAGGCCCTACAAACGGATCAATGGGCTATGGCGTTCCTGCTGCGGTGGCGGCCAAACTGACGCTCCCGGATAGAGTGGTTGTTTCTTTCTCAGGCGATGGTTGCTTCTTGATGAATGGTCAAGAGATCGCCACTGCAGCGCAGTATGGTGCCAACGTGATTTTCCTTGTTATCAACAATGGAATGTACGGAACAATCAGAATGCACCAGGAACGAAATTATCCTGGACGCGTTTCTGGGACTGAGTTGCACAACCCAGATTTTGCAGCCCTTGCTCGAGCTTACGGACTGCATAGCGAGGTGGTAACAAACACAGTTGAGTTTGAACCTGCTTTTGAACGCTGCCTTGACATGCCTCAGCCATGCTTGATTGAAATCAGAGTCGATCCAGAAGCTCTAACACCGCGAATGAGCCTGACTCAAATCAGAGAACAATCAAGCAAAAAATAATGCTTATCCTGTTTCCTCCTTTGGCGCCTGACTAATACCGTTTACTAGGCGCCTTTTTTATGAGCTAAAAAGCAGCTGTGCTGCTATACAGGGGCACTCTTATGTTGTCGATGCACTCCATGAAGTTCCGAATGATTGCCCTTACAGGCCTGTGCGTATTGACAACACTAGCAAGTGTCGTCGGCCTTAACATTTACCAAGGCCAGGTATCATCAAATCAAATTAGAACGCAGAGCAGTCAATTACTAGAAGTCGCCGCTCGCGATCAGTTGATTGGTAACGGGACTGCACAAAAAGTACAAATCGAGAAAAAATTTAGTGATGCTGGTCTTTTAGCCCAGCAGGTTTCCCCTTCACATAGGCGCACTTCGAGATCAGTTCTCGGAGAAGCGGATTAGCTCCGAAAACCTGCGGCGAGACATGGTAAAAAGCATCTATCAGGCGGTCTCAACCAACCCTGCTCTTATGGGGCTCTTCGTAGCCTTTGAACCAGGTCAAGCAGGTGGAGATGATGAACAATTCAAGAGCAAGACAGAATTTGGATCAAATGAAATTGGTCGTTTTTCGACCTATTACTCTCGTTATGGAAGCTCAACTTTTGACTTAGCCGTACTAGACGAACAAACGATCCGTAACGACCAACCAAATACCAATGGTCAGCAAATTAATTCTTGGTATACCTGCTCGAAAAATTCACTTAAACCTTGCATCACTGCCCCTTACTTCGACTCTGTAAATGGCCAAACCAAGGGAGTCGTTTCCCTTTCCGTTCCCTACTTGGAAAAAGGCAAATATGCAGGCGTGCTGGTAGTCGATTTGAGCCTAGATGACCTTCAAGAGCAAAGCGAGAAGATAGCTCTGGATATTTACAATGGAGACTCTTCCGTAAGTATCGTCAGCGATTCGGGCGTTGTCGCTGCGAACAGTGCCTCGGCAAAATCAGTCGGGAAATTGGCTTCCGAAGTATGGCCTCAAAATGCGGCACAGCTTCAGGCGAAAACATTCGCATCGGGAATGAGGGCAGAGCAAGAACTAGATAAGTTTCAACTGTTACTGCCATTCGCCCCAATCGCTGGGGCCGCCCCTTGGGCGGTGAAGATCGACGTTCCATGGAGTACGTTGATGGCACCGTCTGACAAACTGGCTGACCAACTTGATGCGCGGCGCCGCTCAGGTATGTGGCAAATTATTGCATTTGGTGGGCTGCTTGGAACGCTAGGCCTACTAATAAGCGCGGTAATCATTCACAAGTCGCTTCATCCGCTTAGAGTAATCACACTGATGATGAAGGAAATCGCGAGCGGTGATGGTGATTTGACCAAGCGGATCAACTACAACCAACCCAACGAGCTGGGTGAGCTTTCTGGGTGGTTCAATCGCTTCTTAGATAAATTGCATTCTCTGATCAAAGAAATCCAAATCTCGACTCAGCAAACTCGAGAGGCCGCCTTACACGCGTCCACGATCGCACAGGAGTCTCGTGCGAAATTGAACGCCCAAGCGAGCGAGGTCGACCAGGTGGCAACGGCATCAACAGAGATGGCAGCTACTGCGCAGGAAGTCGCTCGCAGTACCTCATCTACCGCCGAAGCTGCGCATGAGAGCAATGTCGCGGGTTCGCAAGCTGATCGCATTATTGTCAGCGCGAGCCAAACTATTCATGAACTGTCGAATGGGATGGGGCAGAATATGTCCCAAGTTAAAGAACTTGCCGAAAGCAGCGCTAAGATCAGCTCCGTCCTTGAGGTCATTCGGGGTATTGCCGAACAAACAAATTTGCTTGCGCTGAACGCGGCGATTGAAGCAGCCCGTGCTGGCGAAGCCGGCCGAGGATTTGCAGTCGTTGCAGATGAAGTTCGGACGTTAGCTCGACGCACTCAAGACTCGGTGACGGAGAGCCAGTCAATCATTGAGGCGCTTCAACAAAACACATCAAACGTTGTCACGGCGATGGGCGAAAGTCACTTGCTGACCGGGATAACGGTTGAAGAGTTTACTAAGGTAGGGGCAGCGCTTCTGCAAATGAGCGCGGGGGTCGGAAAAATCAATGAAATGACCTTGCAAATTGCTTCCGCAACTGAAGAGCAAAGCGCTGTCGCAGATGAGGTTAGTGCGAACGTCAGCAACATTCGGGATTTCACACAACGTTTGGCGATTAATGGCCAAGAGATGGAAACAGTGAGTCTACACCTGAGTGCTTTGGCCGAAAATCTGGAAGAAAAGGTGGGGCATTTCAAAGTCTAAAAATGTCTACTGGCCTCTTTTTCAGCGGGCATGACCAAAGTGATTGACCGTCGTTGGCAGTGCAACGACGGTTGTCTGTTGATCGCCGAAAATGAAAATCCTGAGAAGCACCCTCGGCTAAATGGGTGTCCGGTTTCATTAGACCACTACAGTTTTCTGAAGCCATCGCAGCTTTTGGTGCTGTGAAACATCTCAATAAAAGCCAGCAGATCGCTACTATTATCTTGCCGTGTGCTGTAGATATTTCGCTATGCTACCCTGATTAAGAAGCGGCAACCAGCTCTCGGGCGGCATTGCCATAACGATGGCCTTGACGGCTCATCTTGGTCACCAGGATGTTTGTCTTCAAAGAGCTGCGCCAACCGGAGCTGTTGTACTAGCTACCCTGATCAGACCCATCATCACCTACTGCTCCAGCTTTTCCCTCCGAACGGCCATCAGCAGCGCATCGATGACCAAGTCTCTGGACGTCTTTGGCTTTACTAATCTAACCGCGACCGACGTGAAAACAGATCGAGCAACATTGCTGAGCACAGCCGGCTTTTATAGATTCGGCTATAGGTGATGTCTGTGACTCAGTCTTTTAGATTCGCTCATATTGAATCGGCGATTCCGCAGACTCAGCTCAGCATACTGACCTCCTACTGAACTCGCTTTATCTCGGACTTGGTGTAAAGTTTCATGCAGGCATAGAGATTATGAACGCACACCGTAAATCGCGCAGCTACGTGAGCAACAAGAATGTGCTTTACGATTAATTGAACAGCTGTATTTTGAGTTCTTCAGGATAACGCTGGCTCATAGCACCTCCGAATGGGCCCTGATATCGAGGCTTGGAGCTGCCTGGCTAGGGGACGGTTCAGCCAACCGGAAGATGCCTTTGATAGCTGACCGCATTCAACTGGCCTCGCCAGGCAATCAGCCAAGATCTACTTCAAAGAACTCATGGCGACCTGCTTCAAAACATACTCAGCCAACAGCGCATTGGCGCGAGTGGTCATATGCTCTCCCGCTGCATAAATATATGTCTGGTCAGCATTGTGAGTTTTTAAAGCATTTGGGTAACAATAATCCTGATCGACCTCCCGACAAGCGTCTTCGTGCGCACCATGAGTGATACCAATGGCGGGGCCTTGCGCTACCAACTCATCTACAAATTTCTGAGTGTCAATCAACAGAATCCCAGGATCCTTTGGTAGGCTTTTCAGGAGCTGTTCATTGAATTCACGGCTCATGGCGCTCATAAAAACCTGACTCGCTTTCGAGCGAAACCACGGCAGATTACCCATATCGAGCAATTGGAAAACCAGCACACGCTTTGCTCCACGGGCAAGGATTTCCCGGGTAATGTCTGCTGAGTCTTGAGCCGCTTGCTCAATACGCGCTTTTTCTTTTGCCATCACATCAGGTGTTGGCGTCTCGTTATCTCGTAAAAGCTTTGCAAGCAGCGGGTCATTGGCAGGATCATAGTTGTACGCCACATCGTTTGTCCCGATGTATAGCGTGACTAACTGGTCTGGCAGAAAAGATTGATGCTGGGCCAAGAAATGTTCAACTTGTACCTTGGCGGATACGGGTACTCCTTCTGGATCTTGAGATAACTGCGAGTAGGCATTGTTTGCTCGAGCACCGCCTTGAGCATAATTCAATCCACCAGGGCCGTACTTTCCAGCAACTCCTTTATATACTTGCGAGTATTCCTCTACATGCTCATTTGGCAACGGATCCTGCCCGTAGTGCAGTGCCACATGCTGTGCCCAAGTCAGCCCCGGGTTTGTAGTAAAACGGAACCAATAGGTACCCGCGTCCGTGAGGCTATCACCAAACGAAACTACCTCTTTAATAGGAGGTAATTCTGCGGCCAACACAGGTGGAATTGAATAGGTCATCACTAGACTAGCAGTAAGTAGTGCTCCTTGAATCCATCGCATCGCTTTACCCCGTCGGTTCTTGGTAGCTTATAAACGATCGTAAAATTAAATACTTGGACTGCTTATAGCAAAATGCGCATTGCCAAATCATTCTCCGGCAATGCGCATACGTTCACTACCACACGTTTAAGAGTTTCGGCTAGCTCTCAACTCCGCAGCCACCTTCAGAGCATCATCCTCTGGCGCTTTAGAGCGGCCGTAAGGACGTGCAATTAGCATGTACAAAAGACCCGAACCAACAACTAAACCCAACCCAATGAGCACGATCCAACGATCCACAAACGGCAGAGAGGCATCAGCAGGTTTGGCCAGCATAATTATCGCCAAAACACCATATGCAAGTGCGCATATATTTACCAGGGCACCAAATCGCCCCAGCGTCCATTCACCACCAGGCTTCCAGCCACGTAGACGCTGTCTCAAACCTGCCACTACAACCATCTGAAAACTCAAGTAGATGCCAATTACAGCGAAAGCGGTAATGCGGTTGAGGCTATCAGGCTGCATATAGACCCAAAGGCAGATCAGCAAAGGCGCCGCGCAAGACAACAACACTGCATTGTTCGGAACAGCCTCTTTCACAGAAAGTACCGACAACCAACGACTGCCGGGCAACATTTCATCTCGGGCAAACGAAAAAATCAACCGGCTAAGGGCCGCTTGTAGAGACAAAACACAAGATGTGAAAGCAATCAAAGCGATAATTAAAAACCCTTTAGCTCCCCATGTTCCAAGACTTTCGTTGAGAATCACAGGAATAGGGTCTGCAAGCTTGCCCGACACGATGTCAGCCAAGCTCGGTGCTGCTAACAAGTACCCAGCAAAAGAAACAATCGCAGAGATCGCTCCAAAGAAGATACTCAGAATCATCGCTACGGGAATTCCGCGACTCGGATTATTTACTTCTTCGGCCACATTTCCACACGCTTCGAAGCCAAAGAACATAAACAAGCCCAACAAAGAGGCTCCCAAGAAAGCACTGGTATAGCTGTGGTCAGCGCCAAGCACACCCATTGTGTCGAACAGCACCGAAAAATCGTTCACACGCTTGAAAATTAGCAGATACAGCCCAAGTGCGATCACACCAATGATTTCACACCAGAAACCCAGTCTTGCAATCCGAGCCAGCATGCGTGTACCGCTCATATTGAATACGAGTGCAATCAACAGCATTCCTACCGCACAAGCTAACCCGCTTTTGGGGTTAAGTTCAAAATTGAACAGGTTTGCTGTAAACGTGGCGCTGTATTCAGCAACGGAAGTGATGGTTACCACGAGCGCCCACAAGTAAACCCAAGCAGCAAGCCATGCATAACGACGCCCCCCACAGCCTACGGCACCAGGGGTAAAGTCCCCCGGTGATGGGATACTGAGAAGCGATTTCCCCAAACGTCAGTGCGACAAGCATTTGTCCAGCCGCCACGATTAAAATCCACCACATTGCTGGCGGGCCAGCAAGTGTTAACGCAAAAGCGAAAAGCGCGTAAACACCAGATAGGGGTGAGAGATATGTGAAGCCAAGGGAGAAATTTGAAATCAATCCCATGGAGCGGTGGAACGTTCTTGGGGCTGCTTCAACTCGCGCCGAGCCGTGGACAGTCTGACTCTTTATGGACATTTTGTTATTCCTCTCAGCGAAGCTAAAAAGTCATTAGACTTCCAGTCAAATTGTCGACTTCGTTACCTCGATTATTTAAAAACCACCACATTGAATAACTCAATATAGCTTATCGTTTTTTAACACTTACAGAGTGAATCAAAGGTACCGACCCGTGCTCACTCTTCTAACGCTCCAGAACCACAACACTTCCCTCATGACTAACTCTTACTTAATATACTCACATTCAAATCACCGATAATTCGAGTACAGCAACGTCATGATCTAACACATGGAACGAAATCCGTTTTTGTAACCGCGACAGCGCATTGGAAACTTCCTGTCCTGAATCACAAGCGGCGCCCTCCCAAGGACACCGCCGCAACATTAAACCGGTAGTAAAATACTTGTAGGCTTCAAGAGCGGTACGCCGCGAATCAGATCAGCGGCCTTCTCGCCAATCATAATCGTGGTGGCATTAGTATTCGCACTGACGATGCTTGGCATTACCGAAGCATCCGCAACTCTGAGTCGCTCTACACCATATACGCGCAGCGAGGGATCGACGACCGAAAGCTTGTCAGTACCCATCTTACAAGTGCCGCAAAGATGGAAATCTCCCGAGGTATTTTCCCGGATGTAATCGTCAAGCTCTTTACCGCTCTTAACAGAAGGGCCGGGTTCAACTTCTTTTACGCCTAAGCCATTGTGCGCTCGCTGCTGAGTAATTTCCCGACCGATCCTAATAGTGTGGCGCATCTGATTCATGTCGTAGTCGGTAGATAGCAGGTTCGACATGATCCTTGGTGCAGCCTTCGGATCGTCTGAACGAAGCTTCACCCAGCCAGTTCCTTCGACTCGAGTTGGGCCTATGCAATAGGTAAACCCGTGCAGATCCGGACTCAAACCATCATCGTGATCCATCACCACAGGAAGGTACTGGATTTCAATATCTGGATGCGGAACGGTTGGATCACTACGCAGGAGTGCGCAGGTCTCAACGTTATTGGTAGAACCAGGCCCGGTGTGCGAAGCGATCCAACGAGCACCTGTATACAGCATCAAGTCTTTGCGCATATACCGGCTCATCGACACTGGTTTTTCGATGTGCCACTTCATGTAAACCAGTGGATGGTCTTGTAAGTTCTGACCAACACCAGGAAGATCTACTTTACATTCGATGCCCATCTCTCGTAGATGCTCAGCAGGGCCGACACCCGACAGCATTAAGAGTTGAGGGGTATTGATTGCTCCACTGGATAGGATTACTTCTTTGCGCGCAATAGCCGTAAAGCGTCCGTCACCGCGAGTATAGACAACACCCTTTGCTTGACTGTTTTCGATGATGACCTTTTCAGCCAACGCTCTGTCCTGAACCACCAAATTCTTACGATGAAGGTTCGGATAAATATAAGCGTGTGCGGTCGACGCCCTAACGCCGTCCTTGACGTTCATTTGGAATGCGCCGAACCCTTCCTGATGCTTCCCGTTGATATCATCAGTTAGAGGATAGCCAGCCTGTTCACCGGCAGCCAAGAAGACTTCGTATAATTCTGTAGGGTACTTGCCCGTGCAAATGTGCACTGGCCCAGAACCGCCACGATATTCAGAAGCACCACCCTCCCAGGTTTCAATGCGCTTGAAGTACGGGAGTACCTCGTTCCAAGACCAGCCTTCCGCCCCTTCCGTAACCCAGCGTTCGAAGTCCAACGCATGACCCCGGATATAACACATTCCATTGATTGAGGAGGAGCCACCAAGAACCTTGCCGCGCGGTTGAAAAATACGACGGTTGTTCATGGTCGGCTCTTGCTCGCCCTCGTACATCCAATTGTACTTGTCGTTGCGCCACACCCGATCGAATGCCGCAGGCATATCGATTTTCCAATAGTCCAACAGACCACCAGTTTGGGCACCTGCCTCCAGGAGGAGAACAGTGACATCAGGATTTTCAGTCAACCTGGAGGCAATTACGCATCCAGCAGAACCTCCGCCTACGACGATGTAATCAAATTCTTCAACAGATCGCGCATCTTTCACTTTAGGTACTTCCAATCGCAATGGACTAACAGTCCTCGCCCTAGATCTCTATCGGACGAGCACTTTTTCGCTTGCATGACGAATGCATCAACAACGTCAGAACGACGAGCTGATTGAAATCGCCATTGCGTCCGAAATCTGAACATCAGCAGATACGGGGCCGCCAGATACACCAACTGAACAGATCAGCTGACCATTGACGAATACCGGGACACCGCCACCAAATACGACAAATGGGCGCGCAGCGGTGTTCTGCAATCCGTAAATCTCGCCACCTGGTTGAGCGTCTGCGTAAAGATCTGCTGTGCGGACTTTGAATGCGCTGGAAGTGTAGGCCTTGTTAATCGCGATCTCCGCTGTACCGAACGTTGCGTTTTCGGTACGCAGAAAAGCAATCAGGTTACCGCCTGCATCGACGATGGCCAGGCTTGATGGCTCATTTAGTTCTTGGGCTCTGGCTTCGCCAGCCTTCAAAGCTTGAATGGCCTGCTGTGATGACAAATTCATCAGGAATACCCCTATTTCTATTGTTGTAGCCCCCTTGGCGAAGGGCAGAAGGTTTATAGGGCAGTGCAATACCGACGGAATTTCCGTCGTGTGTCTATTTTTTTTATTGGATCTACTTTAGAACCATTGAATTAAATTAGTACTCTTTTGGCTGGGTGTCAAGCGTTCAAGTGGCATGGTCATGACCGCAAATCTGATTCCGCTATCATCGATACCGAGCGAGCACCAACTCCATTTCCTCTCGTATGATTTTCAAAGCTACAGACCCGCCAATAGCCCCTACAACCCTACTCAAAAAGGCTTTTCAGTCATAAAAAACTTACGGCTTCCATCGATTTGTTATAGAACGTGATACGAAAAATCAACGAGTCCTCTAGAGCCAGGATGATGAAAACTACGCCACATCCCTATAGAATCGAACCATAAGCAGCGAACGAGCAAATCTATCTATGGCACATCAGCCCAGCTTCAATGGTACGCTATGAGTACCATTTATGAGATCAGCCCGACCTCAATGCAGTGAGAGTGAAACTGCTATTTATGATCCGAAACAGACTCCTCAGCACGACGGGCCACGCGGCTAACCTCTAAGATTCCTTCGTCACTCTCTATAGCCCTCGGCGCCTCAACCGCTGCATTCAATGCCAAACAGCTGTTCTGATCTGCAGCAGAACGAATTACCACTAGGACGTTTTTGATTTGCTCATCCTTATTCTGTAGGTCAGCAAAGTCTTCGCTCGCAACAGGCATGGGATCACCTAGATTGAATCTAGCGGGCTAAATGCGACCTGAGCCCCAGGCATATCGGTACCGTAAGCAACGGTGAAACTCCCTTACGGCACAGTTAGTAATTTTTAATTAGCAGATAATCGATTACCCATAAATTACTGTAAACGAATCACCTATATTCTGGTTAGATTATTTAATTAACAAGCATTTGGATTTAGCACGCATTGCTGCAGCGACTTCTAACGCATCATCCCTTAGAGCATTAGAACGCCCATAAAGTTGTGCAATTATCATGTAGAGCAAACCAGTACCCAATACAATCGACAAACCTACGAGCACGACCCCACGATCCAGGAAAGGTAAACTTGAATCCACAGGCGCAACGAGCAGGATAATTGCGGCAACTCCATAAACCAGAGCACAAATATTAATCAATGTGCCCAAGCCACCCATTGTCCATCCTCCTAAAAACCGGTCTGGGAATTTGTATGATTGTCGCGTACAACCGAAGACACACCCTGAGAAGTATTTGGGGTCATTGTTAAACCCAATTAAATTTGCGCTAAGCATTTTTATTTTTTGAGCCGAATCGAGGCGCTACTCTAATACAGCAAATTAACGAATTGCTGAGCTTTGACTGGACGAGTCCTAAGATGTGCGGACTTAAACAAAAGGCTCAGTTTAATTATCAACCTTTTGCGAACCAACCATTGTCCAAGGTCAAAGCCTGGCCATTGATAAAACTCGCAGCATCAGAGGACAAAAACAGCACCGCCTCCCCTGTCTCTTCAGGTTCGCAAATTCGCAATTGAGTATCTTTAAGGGCCGAGTCATCCCATACATGTCCCAGCGCTGCGAAATCTTCGATCTCTTTTAGTCCATGATCGGTACGGACGAAGGCTGGGCAAATAGCGTTCGCCCGAATGTTATTTTCCCTATATTCGGCGCAGATCGATTTTGCGAGCATAACAACTGCCGACTTCGTCATGTTGTAAAGAGCTTCAAGAGCAAAAGCACGCTCGGCTGAGACGGAAGAGGTAATTACTATCGTCCCACCCCCTGTTTTAGTCATACGCTCAACAACGTTACTGCATACAAAGAATGCAGATTTCACATTGACATCAAAAATCTTCTGAAAATCACCCTCACTCATGGAATGAAGCGCACCAACGGTAACAATCCCGGCATGGTTAAAGAGATGATCAATGCTGCCGAATCGATCTACTGCCGCAGCAATGCTGTCATTTACTTGAGACGCCGAGCTGACATCGACCTTCCAGGCTTGAGCTTGACCACCGACCCCTTGAATCTCCTCGACTGTGTCTTCAGCAGCCCGAATATCAAGATCCAGAATGCTTATCTTTGCACCCTGTTGAGCAAAGAGCAGAGCGGCTGCGCGCCCCATCCCCTTTCCTCCGCCAGATATGAGTACATGCGAATCCTGGAAGCATTGATATTGCGCGCGGGGGGTCGGTAGCTGAGTCATTGTTATTTTCACTCGATGGATTTTTGGGCTTAACTAGAACCATTTGAGCTTTTTTAGCACGACACCCACCAGCGTGCAACCCCAAAAAATGACGGAACATTCCGAAATACGGCGCAAAATCCTGATGAACGGCGGAAAACCAACCTCAGCCTGCACAGATCGGTACTATTTAGGAACCTTTTATAAAAGACTATTCTAAGCAACCTAATGGCAATACATGCAGGGTAAAGCAGGTCACGCTCAGCCGATTTACCTTCCAATAAATACTTAGGGCACCCAGATCTGAGTTTTTGAAAACCGGCGTGATTGAATCTCCCGCTCAGCAAGGCACTCAGAGAAAGCGAAATTCAAATGGGAGAGGTAGACTGAGTTATTAACGCTTGCCCGGGCTGTGACCACTGCGAGCAAAGTGGTACCTCGGGCTCGATGCCAAGCAGGCTAGAGGGTCTTGTAGGTCGCGAATGAACGCATTGAGCAGCAGCCGTCCAGGCTATTGAGCTATCCAATGGAGATAGAGCTGACAATGCCCGTGCGCTTTGTGTTACGGATCTGGCCCAGCCTTGTTTTTGGAGTGTTCGCTGGAATAAACGGGGTGGAGTGATTTCTAGGCCTCGCCCTCAGCCAAGATCGCGAGCGAAGCCGCAACTCCCCAGCAAGATTGGACGGCGCATTGGGCTCTACGCGCCCCTAAGGAAACTCTGAAAAAAGACTTTCTAATTTGGCAAAATCGCCGGACACCCAGTCGCCGAGCTTTTCGATGATGAAACAGATGACCTTTGCCGACGCCGAGTACGCAGGCAAACGCAAGCAGACCCGCAAGGAATTGTTCCTGATCGAGATGGATCAGGTGGTGCCCTGGAAGGGTTTGATCGCCTTGATCGAGCCGCACTATCCAAAGGGTGAAGGTGGCCGTCCGGCCTATCCGTTGATGGCGATGTTGCGCGTGCACCTGATGCAGAACTGGTTCGGCTACAGCGATCCTGCGATGGAAGAAGCACTGTATGAAACGACCATCCTGCGCCAGTTCTCGGGACTGAGCCTTGAGCGGATCCCGGATGAAACCACCATCCTCAACTTCCGTCGCCTGCTGGAAAAACACGAACTGGCCGCTGGAATTCTCGCTGTGATCAATGGTTATTTGGGCGACCGCGGTCTGTCGTTGCGCCAAGGCACCATTGTGGATGCCACTCTGATTCATGCGCCCAGCTCAACCAAAAACAAGGATGGCAAGCGCGACCCGCAAATGCATCAGACCAAGAAAGGCAATCAATATTACTTCGGTGCCAAGGCCCACATCGGCGTCGACGATGAGTCTGGCCTGGTTCATAGCGTGGTGGTCACGGCGGCCAATGTGGCGGACGTCACGCAGGTCGACAAACTGCTGCATGGCGAAGAAAACGTGGTCTGCGCCGACGCGGGTTATACCGGGGTCGAGAAGCGCGAAGAGCACGAGGGGCGTGAGGTTATTTGGCAGATTGCAGCCCGGCGCAGCACTTACAAAAAGCATGGAAAACACAGTGCCTTGTACAAAGCGATACGCAAGATCGAGAAGGCCAAGGCTCAGGTTCGCGCCAAGGTCGAGCACCCGTTTCGGGTGATCAAGCGCCAGTTTGGCTATGAAAAAGTGCGTTTTCGGGGCTGGCCAAGAACACAGCGCAGATGCTGACGTTGTTCGCCCTATCAAACCTGTGGATGGCACGTCGACATTTATTGGCGAACACAGGAGAGGTGCGCGTGTAATACAGGAAATGGCGGCTGCGAAGCGCCTTGCAGCGGCTGGAAGGGCTGAAATATGAAGAGAATGGGGAAAATTTCGACGGGGGTCGTTTTTTGAAAAGTGCTGACGGCTCAATAGCCGGAAAATATCCGGCTATTTCAGACCATCCCTAAGGCTTCAACCCAAAGCGCGTTCCTAAATACTTCACCGTTAGTCTTGATTCTGCTGTAGGCAATCATTAGGCGAGCGAGCAAAGCAAAGGGCATCAAATGCTCCTGACATTCCGGCCCATCAAGATCGACTTGAAGCGCCCCGCAAATACACAGCAGATACGATCCATCTGAGCATCCGCCAAGCTCTTGTCGTTGGATTGAATTGCTACGATGAGCTGATCTACGGCCTCCAGTGGAAAATGGTCATCTTGAGACTCAACCTCCACAAATGGTAGAAATGACGCCGCAAGAGAATCATGAATCGCATTGAGCAGCCAAACATTACCTGACGCCATTGCGACAGCCAGGCAGAGTTCGCTTTCCGCCCTCCGACGATCATAATCTGGCTTATCCTCCCGTAACACCGCGAACACTTCACGCATCCGCTTCAAATCAGCCGGCGTCCTCCGCACTGCAGCGAAGCGCGCGCATGCAAGCTGGTTAATCCTCCAAAACTCCAGAGCACGTAGACAACCAGCCTGAGACTTATGGAGCTGTGCCAGCGAGATGGCACGTAGGCGGTCTTCATCCACGATAAAGGCCCCACCACTAGCACCACGTCGAATGTCTAAATACCCTTCAGCATCCAGCATTTTCAGTGCCTCGCGAAGCGTAATTCTCGCAACTCCAAGGTCATCCGCGAATCGACGCTCAGCCGGCAACTTGGAACTTGGTGCGATCAGACCAAGCGTTATCTCTTGACGCAGTCGCTCAGCAGTCGCACCATAAGTTGCGATCGTTTTTATCGGAGTTATACCGTATAACATAATTAAATAGCAGTAAAAGTATTGTCAGCCATGATCTCAGCCCCATTAATAAAGCTGGAGTCATCATTGGCCAAAAATAGTGCAATGGAGGCTACCTCCTCAGGCTCGCAAATACGGCCCTGCATCAGTGCAATGTCATTTTCAGAGGCAAAAACCCCATGCGAACGCAACTGTTCAAGCTCCTCTGTTGCATGTTTAGTACGGACAAAACTTGGAACAATCAAATTGCAACGAATCCCTGCATCTCTGTACTCTACTGCAATTGCGCGACATAGCTGATGCATCGCCGACTTTGACGCACAATAAACACTTTCATAATTAGTCACCGCCTTCACAGAAGTTGATGAGGTATTTACTATTACGCCTTTGCCTTGCAGCAACATGTGGGGCAATACAGCCCTACTCACCATAAAAACGCTTTTCGCGTTGTTATCAAACAACCAGTCCCAATCCTCTAATGTGTATTCAAGAAAGGCCTTGGCAGTGATTACGCCTGCGTGGTTGAACAACACGTCTATACGGCCTTCGAGCTCAATCGTCTTCTCAACCGTCTGGATGCAGTGATCTGGGATGCTAACGTTCCCAGGTAGAAAGTGGACTGAGTAGCCTTCCTTAGCTAGCGCCTTTACGAGCGCCTCGCCAGCAACCTCATCCGTATCCACGAAGTAGACCTTCCCACCCTCACGAGAAAAAAGTTCTACCGTGGCCTTTCCAATACCGTTGGCGCCACCTGTAATAAAGCATACTTTCCCAGAAAGCCTTGCCATTTTAGACACCCCCCTAATCGCACAACCGTAACCAGCCAACCCTATTTTAAACATAGTCGCATACATTGGCAAACTTAGACAAGATAAAATAGTTAAAAAGTCGCATCGACAACTCTTCAAATTCTTTTCTAAACACCTGACCATATCCAGCAATACTATCAGCACCATGAAAACAATATAAAAAAGCAAAACCGATCAAAAACTTTCAAAATTACGAACCACTCTTTCAATGTACTGAACAAAAAACAAACCCTCATCAGCATTTGAAATAACAACTAAAAATGAAAATTTTAGAATATCTTCCATGGGCTCGGTAGCGAGCCAGATGGTGTCGATGCGGATCATCGCAGCAGGTCTCTTAAGAACGCGGAACATTCCGATGCACTTTCTGCCGGCCAACTCACCACGACTACCACTTTTGAATGAGGCACTTCGACTCGAATCGTGGCAGGAAGAACTTACTGCGTCACTATCGGCCGCGCTGCCTTGACCGGAATAAAGGTAGTTTGCTGCCTCAGGTTTTTCTGTGTGTGCGCCCGAATCCATTTATGGACGAGGTTAGCGTTGAGATTGTGAGACAAGGCAACATTTGCAATCGAGGTGTCAGGCTGCGCGCATTCGGCAATGACTTGGGCCTTGAAGGACTTGGAATTGGAACGGCGTACTTGTGGCATGGGCATCCGCTCAAAAAGGCAAAAAATGGAGTCCACTTCAATTTAGGTGGACACCATCGCCTCAAGCGACGGTGTCAGGAAGGTGTGTTGCCCAGACGGTTACGCCACGGATCCGCCCAGAATACCGACCTTGAATTCTAGGTCTGAAGTGATTCTGTCGACATGGGGTCGAAAACGGAGGCTGTATGAAAGCAGCTACGTGATGCAAGTAACTCGCGAATCGAGCGTCGTAAATCGTGATGGGAAAATTTGGACATGCCCGCTCCTAACTGTCGCCGTAAACGCGGGAACGATCAGTGCAAACTCAAAAGTGAGGCGAGCCTATCACGCAATAAAAATAGACTGATGACGTTTCAGAATGGCCCTATGCGTCAAAATCATTGGCCACATTTGATGAGATTTGGGAGCGATGAGTTATTCAGTTTGATGGCCCGGGAAGCTACGTGATGCACCTTCGAGCGTCTTCCAAAGGTTGCGCATTGTCGGGTTCTTGTTGTCGATTGAGCTGTAGGAGCGAATCTCCAGTCGCGTGCTCCATTCATCACCACCCGCTTTCACCAACTGCCCTCGCTGCAGTTCGTCTATGACCGCGCTTTGGGGCAGCCACGCTACTCCGTAGCCCTCTACTGCCATTCGCATCAGTAGCATTGTCATATCCGCTTCGTAGCACCGCTCCAGCATGCATGCAGTCGGGCCATTCTTGATGACGATGTCGGCAACACGACCTAGAAAAGTCGTAGCTGTGTAGGCGAGATGAGGAACTGTTTTGCTGGAAGTTCCTGGCAAGGGATACAGCGGAGTACCATCCTTGTTAGGTGCGCACAATGGAATGAACGCGTCATGCCCTAAGGTCAAACTCCCGAACCTTTCCGAGTCGAGAAGAATGGGTGCCAAGGGGTGTTGATAGACGATCATCAGATCGCAGCTGCCTTCTTCCAGAGCTATGACCGCATCGTGGATATTGGCGGCAACGACCCGCGCATTGAATTGCTCGTTGTGCTGCTGAAACTGCTTGAGCCATCTCGGCAAGAAGGTCATGGAAAGGCTGTGGCCGGCAGTGATTTGGATGGATCGACCGGGCATTCGCTCTACCTCGCGAAGGCTTGAGCGCAATCTCATTAAACCCGCCAATGCCTCGCGGCTTTCTTCACAAAATGTTCGGCCAGCCGGGGTGAGCTGGACAGGATAGGTGCCACGATCCACCAGCTCTGCACCTACCCATTCTTCAAGTGACTTGATACGTCGAGACAACGCTGACTGAGTCACGCAGCGGATTTCGGCTGCACGCGAAAAGTTTTTCCATTCGGCAATTGCCAGAAGGTCATCCAACCACTTGATTTGCATAGCGGCACCTCACCCTGCGAGTGAGCAGTGTAATGCCCCGGGATCGAGATAAAGCAGTCTTTTTCGTAATTATTCCGAAAACGCATAGCCTCATCTTGATTACTCATCACGCCCCCGACGCTGTCCTTAGAATCGAAAACTGCATCGCCGCCATAAAGCGCCGTGTGAATTTGTCCTTGTCTCCTGCCAAGTAGAAAAAGCACAAAAAACCACTTGAGGATTGCTTCGTGAAGAAAAACAAACTTCCGCGTCAAATTGCAGTTGGCATCGCCCTAGGCGTGCTGGTCGGTTGGGCATGTCATCATTTCGCAGGAAGCGAACAAAGCGCCAAAGAGATCGCGTCTTACTTCTCAATGGTTACTGACATATTTTTACGCATGATCAAAATGATCATTGCTCCATTAGTGTTCGCCACGTTGGTTGGCGGCATTGCCAGTATGGGCAACTCTCGCTCTGTAGGTCGAATTGGAATGCGGGCCATGGCATGGTTCGTAACGGCTTCGGTGATCTCGCTGTTGATCGGCATGGTGCTGGTGAATCTGTTTCAGCCTGGCGCGGGGCTCAACATGGAGGTCACTCAGCATGCGGCAGCTCCAGTAGCCGTCAACACCGGCGATTTCAGTCTCAAGGTTTTTATTAGCCACGTATTTCCTCGTAGCATTGCCGAGGCCATGGCTAACAACGAGATCTTGCAAATAGTCGTCTTCTCACTGTTTTTTGGCTTTGCGTTGGCGGGCGTCAAACGTGCCGGCTACACAAAGATCACCGACAGCATTGAAGAGCTTGCGAAGGTGATGTTCAAGATCACCGACTACGTGATGGCCCTGGCACCTATAGGCGTCTTTGCAGCAATCGCTGCGGCCATCACCACTCAAGGCCTTGGTCTGTTAGTCGATTACGGCAAACTGATTGCTGAATTCTACTTAGGCATTGCAATCCTCTGGGCCGTTTTGTTCGGTGCGGGGTATCTTTTCCTGGGTCGTTCTGTGTTCACTCTCGGCAAGCTGATTCGTGAGCCTATCCTGTTGGCATTCTCGACCTCCAGTAGCGAAGCTGCTTATCCAAAAACCATGGAGGCTTTGGAGAAGTTTGGTGCACCTAAGCGCGTAACCAGTTTCGTCCTTCCTTTGGGATACTCATTCAACCTCGACGGTTCGATGATGTATCAAGCCTTCGCGATTATGTTTATCGCACAGGCTTACAACATCCACCTGAGCTTGACGCAGCAGTTGCTGATCTTGCTGACACTCATGGTTACCAGCAAGGGAATGGCGGGTGTAGCCCGAGCTTCGGTGGTGGTAGTTGCAGCGACATTGCCAATGTTCAACCTACCTGAAGCCGGCATTTTACTGATCTTGGGCATTGACCAGTTCCTCGATATGGCGAGGACTGCTACCAACGTCGTTGGCAATAGCATCGCGACGGCTGTAGTTGCTAAATCAGAACCTTATGAGGAGCCGGAGGACGCCACTCATGCCGACTATCCCACCTCAAATCACACTCTGAGCCCAGCCTGAGAACATAAACATGAAAGGCAAATCGAAGCCGTCCAGTAAGTCATCCTTTGCTCGCAAACTTGGCATCGTTGGCGGGCTTGGCTCACTGGCCGGCGGCGATCTTTTTTACAAATTGGTAAAGTCCAGGGCAGTTTTAGAGGATCAAGGTCGTTATCACTTTCAGTTTGAGCAACACCCGTTCAAAGACGTCTTGATGCCTCTAGAACGGGGGCCAGCATGACCTCCAGAAAGTTCTATGTATTTCAGGTTTGCCAGACTTTCGAGGCAAGCGAGGTCAATGCAGTCTTATTGCCATGTTTTGCCAGCCACACTTTTCGGGAGGAGATCCAAGAGGAAATTGGAATACCCGTTCTGGATATGATGGCGGCGTTACGCATGCACGTGGATCATGTCGCTGAACGCGGTACAACGCTGGGCATCATGGCGTCCGACTATGTTAGGCACTCCGGTTTGTTCGAGCGCTATTTCGGCACTGATTTCAAGCTCGTTTATCCAAACGATAACGAGCAATCTAGGTTGATGGGCGCCATGTATGGGGTTAACGGCATCAAAGATGGATTCCTTGACGGGGGCCACTTGAGTGTGTTTATCAGGCCTGCCTTTCGCTTCAGGATCAGGGGGCCACAATCATTCTGCCTGGCATGACTGAGCTCTCGTTAGTCTGCGGTGATCTGCAACGGCGGGGCGTCAGAGCACTGGATATCAATGAAATTTATGCTGCCTTCGCCACCTTGGAGAAAGGCCAGTCGACTCGTCCACCATTTAAGCTTGGGATAGTGGGTGGAGTTGGGCCGGCGGCAACGGTCGACTTCATGGGTAAGGTTGTGGCGCACACACCGGCTGGCCGCGATCAGGAACACCTCAAAATGGTGGTAGAACAGAACCCCCAGATCCCCGATCGCACAGCCAATCTGCTGTATGACGAAACCGATCCGACGATGGCGATGTACGCAACATGCAAGCGACTTGAAAGCGCTGGAGCCAATGCTATAGCGATTCCGTGCAATACAGCTCACGCATTTGTTGAGCGCATCCAGACGCACCTAAGTGTACCTATTGTGAATATGCTGACTGAGACGGTAGAGGCTATCGTGCAGCGGTACGGCGCTGGCAAAACCGTCGGGCTGCTAGCGACCTCCGGCACAATAAAAAGTCAGGTTTATCACGAGGCAGCCCGACGAGCAGGGTTGCAAATAATTACCCCTGGTGTGGATTACCAAGTATTGGTTATGGAGTCGATTTACGGAGACCACGGAATTAAAGCGGGTTTCACAGAGGGCATATGTAAAGACCAGCTGTTGATCGCAGCAGAGCACTTGTGTGAACTGGGTGCAGATGTGCTCATCCTGGGGTGCACAGAGCTACCGCTGGTGCTAGAGCATAGCGAATCCTACATGATCAAAAATCATGAAGTGGCATTGGTCGATCCGACAACCATTTTGGCATTGAAGTGCATTGAGCTTGCTCGAGAAAATACAGTCAAGCCGATTAGTCGATAAGCCAACTGGCGGCCTGGAACAGATTGAACTGTTGGGAACATCTACATAAGCAGGCAAACTAACTCTAGAATCAACGTACGTTAATCAGTAAAAAAAGGCCCTTCTCGGGCCCTTTGTACTCAAATCAAAATCACTTGGTCAGCCAGGACTCGACGGTCGCGGAGCCGTGCTCAGCTTTCCATTCCTTCAGAGTCTTGTGATTGCCGCCTTTGGTTTCGACAACTTCGCTGGTATGAGGGTTTTTGTAGATCTTCACTTGGCGTGGTTTACGAGTGCTGGTCTTGGACTCAGCTGCTGGTGCGCGACGACCAGACTTCGGATCAAGCAGGTTGATCACGTTCGGCAGGCTGTAGCCGTACTCGGCAAGCAGAGCGCGCAGCTTAGTTTCGAATTCGATTTCTTTCTTGAGGCCAGCGTCGCCTTTCAGCGCCTCGAGAGCTTCGAGCTGTTCGGCGAGGTGTTTTTCGAGCTGGCGGAATTCTGCGAGTTTGGACATGGTCGTTCTCTAGGTAGTTAGTTGCCTAACAATACACCAATATGCACAGTTAAATCAGGTGTTTTGGCAGACCCCGTTACTGCCTGCCGATGTAATAAGGACACCTGATCACCGAGATCATGCCCCGACGTCGTGCCGTGATTGGGGAGCTAGACCCGGTGTGGTGGAATACTGTAGCCCTGCCCTAAACGAGCAGCAGGTCACATATACGCGTTATGCGGACTCCTGATTAAATGCGCTTTAGGCTTCGTCGCTAAAAATACTGCAGTCCAAAGCTGCTCCGCTAGCCACTGTGCTTCACTGCGGCTGAGCCTCCAGCCAACCCAACCAAAAAGCAATAAGACGTATTGGCCATCTAGTCTGATCTGAAAATCATAGATAGCCTCTTCGCCATCTTTAAATTCCCGCACCGGTTCGGGATCAAGCAGGGCTCCTGCCATTAGGAAACTTCTACCAGTCATCACGACCTGGAGCAAATCAAGTGTTTTCTGTGATCCAAACGGTTCATGGCGCTCAATTAGAACAGCCCAGTTGTCATGATTTGTTTGGATATTAGACTTATCCGACTTTGGGTGATTTGGATCAAACGAGTTGAGTACCGCTTTGATTAAACCAGACGCGATCTCATAAGCTTGCTGTGTGGTGAAGCATGCTTTGAAGTCGTCTAGGACTACACGAATAATACGGGACGGGGTGAGTTTGACAGTCGCACGATAATGCTCGTCTGTTTCCGGGAAACTGAAAAGTTCAGAGGACTTGAAGGTGAGATGGGATTTAAAACGGTCGTTGCTCATAGCATCCTCGAAAATACTGGCTTACTAAATCAAATTCGGCCCAGCCCTCAAGAATCTTTAACAATTTCAAAAATTATTTAGTGGGTTAGCCTGAGGAGTAAACCGCCGCCCAGAGTGGTATAGAATAGAAACTTGAAAGAGTCGTAACTCAATGGCTCCATCATCTCCGACGCAGCCCCCAATCTGGATAGGTCGGCACACTGTTCAAGCGCAGTGTTCCTCTACCCCTTCTGAGTGGCGACCGGCTCCGAGATCGAGGGAAGGTCTTCGGTGTATAAGCCTTTTTTGGCAGCGGGTGACCAGGAGAACTTCAGCTTTGCTGTATTTGAAACCAGATCGGAACTCAATACACCGCTTTCACGACGGCTTTTGTCATCAACCGGACATCCTCGGTTGGGTAGCTGTCCGCTGACTCTCCTTCTATGCGTTCACCGATTTGAGTATCTGCTCGAGTGCATGGCGCTCCGAATTAGTAAGGAGTTGTTGGCGCTGATGGGGCATTTGCTTTAGTCACTGCCAGCGGAGCTGGTTGCCAGCCTGAGGCCCTTACGTTTTGAATTGGAAGTCTGAAGGCAGTCAGTCGTCTGACCAAGGATCGAATTTATCCCCGTATTTGGCGCGTAAGGCTCGATGGCGGTTGATCCGCCAGATCCATGGATCGTAGTCCTTGGGCAATGCGGCCAGTTTGTCGCTGATGATCATTTGCACCGCGTCGTCGCGTAAAAGCTGACTAGTCATCTCGCGGTATTCGCCAAGCGTAGTCAAACCATAAATGGCGTGATTTTCTTTCACGTAAAGGTCGGTCATACCCACGCGCATATGGCCGTAGTCGGCTACGTCGCGAGGATAGATGTCCTCCAAGCTGAGATGTCCCATATCGAGCTCCAAGGCAAAATGTACCCGCTGGAGAGTACTGTTTGCGCTGTCCATTTTCGTTGTGCCGCCGGCAGAAAAGCAATCGCTACTCCGCGTGAGCGGCTAGCAATACGGACTAAAAATGAGGCTCTGGCCGAGGCCCTGAGTACGATACAGCGCGAGCAATAGCTGGCAGAACACAGCGAAGCCGTAATGCCTACAGTGAAGACGTAGAAACCCACGGAGCTTCTGAAGCCTATCTCTCGCTACGTGGCTATTTTTCCGCCTGCAACGACGGGCCTCAGATGAGTATCGGTTGCTTCATCTCTCACCAGGTGGCGCGGGCCGACTCATCTGGCTGATACGAATATCGAGAGTTTTATCTCTCGGCCCCATGTTCGTTTGACCCAGCAAACACAGGCCTCGGACTAATATCGGGATTTCGTCTCTCACCGGGTAGCGCACGCCGTACCATCTGGCTGATGCGAATATCAGGGGTTCCATCTCCCACCGTCTGGAGCGAGATAAATCAGCTGGCCGATACCAATATCGAGCGTTTCATCTCTCAGCCTTCCCATGGCCGTTGTGCCAGAAAACGGGGCCTTTGACGAATATCAGGAGTTTCCATCTCCCGCCGGTGGAGCGGGTCGAATTAGCAGATGATACGAATATCGAGGGCTTTATCTCTTGGGGGCGAGGCTGTTGTTAGCAATACAACAGCAACCCACCATTGAGACTGGCCAAGGCACTGTGAGTAAGGTATCTGGAGCCAGCTCGGGTGTTCTCACCATTTGCGAGCTTTGCTGAATCAGACCTCAGCAACGCTCACCTGATTGAAGCAATTTAAGAAAGCTTTTCCGCCCAACCCCCTCGCATGAAACTGCTCACGACGTAATTGCCGACTCGAGTTTCAAGAAGCCAGTAACGCCCTTCTTTCCAGGCCCTCTTAATTTTCCCAGTTCTAAGTAGGCCGCCATCCGCTGGACGATACGCGTCACCCTGCCCAACGTGATCGAAAGATACTCCAAGGCACGTATCCTCCGCGATGAATGCATCGCTGATGAAGGCAGTGATCGGCACAGTGTATTGTCTACGGTGCGCGTGCCCCAAGCGACACAGCTGAAAGTCACTCAAATCCTTACTGTGGAATTCCAACTCGATTATTTCAGGCATCCGACCAAAGCTCCAAAATGACTCGATATGTATTTACGGCGCTCATTGCTTAAACGGCCTTCATGGAAAACGCAGCCCCCACAGTCGCTTCTTTTCGCTGCCCTGGGCCCCAGAGGAGGTAGACGGTGTTCTTGGTTTCAAACATGCTGCCTTCGGTGAAAGACAGGCCGAAATTGCTGCGCACCCACATGCCAGGCTGAAATCGATTTCTTCTGTCGAGAACGACCTCATGTGCATATAGGGTGACCGGAAGTAGACCGATGCCCATGAGCTTTTCTTTCTCATCAGGGTTAACCGTAAGGTCGATCAAAATCCATTGCCGTACTACGCAAAATGGCTTCCCTGGGAACGCTTTTGCAGCCAATGCAATCAGCTCATCCTGGGTGCCCTGCCAGCCAGCCGTGGCCTCCCCTGCGCCGTAAAGGAGCTGGGAAATCTCTTCTAACGTAACCATGTAATTTCTCGTATTCGATTCAGATGTAGCTGACACCGATAACGGAGCCAGACGCCTACATGCAGCGAGATTCTGTCTGCTGAGGGCCATGACCGACCGACTGCATATCAAAGCTCGATCAAAAAATCCGGATCGAAACCAGTTAGTTGATTTGGGTAGCCGCGAGGATTTGAAACGACTCGGCATCCACGCTTTATGAAATCCGCTGCGACATGGGTATGTCCATAAACCCAAAGGTCGGCCTTGGACACGAGTTCCGGCCAATCGTTGGCGTAGGCTGCGATCAGGTGTGCGGGAAGATCATCACCCACGTAATCCAATACCGGCGCATGGTGAGTAACTACAACTGTTTTGCCATCGAATGGCTTATCCAATTCCTGTGTGAGCCAGGCATAGGCTGCTTTGGATTTAACGATCAAGTCATCTGGACGGAGGCGACGGTAACTCTCATCAGTTCTGATGACGGTGTAGTCGTTCATCCATTCCCAGGCGACGCGTTTCGCGGCAACGACATCTCCGGTCGACGAGTAATCTGTCCACGCTGTAGTGGCCAAAAACCTAGTTTGGTTAAGGATCAAGGCTTCGTTTTCGAGAACGTGGACATGAGGAGTTGCCGCATCTTTCATTTTGCGGAGCGTGCGCTCGGTGTGGCCGCCGTAGTACTCATGATTTCCGCACACATAGATGACAGGGCATTGGAATGTCTCGTTCGCCCAAGCCACGCCGCGTGATTTAATATCGATGTCCCCGGCGAGAATCACTACGTCCGCTTCGCTCAGGGCGGGCTCGAACAAAGCGAACTCGTTGTGCAGATCTGAATAGATTCGTAACTTCATTGGAGTCGCCGTGTTGGTCAGTCTTAAGCAGATTTCGAAACTGCTGAAGGTGCAGTATTCGTATCTTCGTAGATTGTCCGAACGCCGGTGAGTGAGCCGGCGTCGGTGCTATCGCGAGCGCTGCTATAAACAGCTCCGCTAGCGACCTTATGAAGCTGGACGCACTCTCCGGCTTGGTCGTATCCGATGACCAAGCTGACAAGCCTTTCCATACGATCGGATGCGCTCCCATTCATATGGGGCGCGGTCACAATCTGTACCTCTTCAATCGTGTGATCTGGACTGCGTTGCGAAAGCAGGTGGGCCAGAACAGCGATATCCGCTGGCATACACTTTTTTAGACCGCGATCTACTGCCTTCACTAACGCGCATCCGGACGTGGTACCAAAGCTCTTCCGAGTCACGCTCGACCATGCGCCAAGCTGTTCGGCCTGGCCCAGGAAATCCTGGAAAGCCAACCAAACAAGACTCATCTGAAATAAACATGAAGCGGGTTTCCTCGTTGGGCAGTGCTGCAGTTCTGAATAGGACGGCGGGTTAAAACATGATCGTACGAAGGTTGGATGGCGTCCTTCCGTTCATCGCTTCTTAAGCTCGGCGACAAGAATTCTGCGCACGGTTACACCCCCCACGCTCTGGCAATTTATGGCTATTGTTCAGTATGAAGCCCCAGTCTTCTGGTGCTGATACCTCAGGTCGTTGCTCAGTTTTGAGTCTCAACTTTGCGACAACCAATGAGTCCGACCGGCACTGAAATAGCTGGCTAGCCCCGTTTAGATCGTTGATCGTCTCCGCCAAATCCCACATAGATAAATATATAGATTTGAATGGGATTGCGCAAACGCGGCATACCGTCCTGCTTTAAGAGGGAGTCAGGATGTTGCTTCGCCAAGCGTATGCGGCAGTGCTACAGCTGTTGAGAGCTCGTCTAGACCTCTCTCAGCACGACATTGCTCAGACTGTCACACAATCACATGTGAGCCAGCTCGAAGCAGTCAAAACGTCTGCGACATTGGAAGTCAGCCAAGAACTCGCCGAAGCTCTGAATCTACATCCAGTCTCATTCCTAGCGCTCGTTCATGCAGCCCAAGACCAAAGATCGGCTCGTGAAATTCTGCGGCTAGCTATGGAGGAGTTGGATGCCATCGAGCTGTTGGATGCGGCTCTTCCGATTCAACCCGAAAAGCTGTCTCCTCCACAGACGGTAGCAGCGGATAAAAAATGGGAAGCAGTCCAAGAGCTTAAAAAAGAAGGACACAGCCAAGCGGAGGTAGTGCAAATGTTGGGGATGCCGAGGTCAACAGTTGGACGCTATTGGCACAAAAAAACTCGTAGAGGCAGTCTTTTCTCCGCTCTTTAGCTGAAGTTTTAGGCACACATTCAGAAATCAATCACGCATGGCTTTTTCGTATGTATAGGCGTGATACGAACAAAGACCTCCATTGTCCTGATCCTCCTGTCCTAACCCTTCTTCACATATCGAACACTCGGTGTAATCAAGCTCAGCTGCGCACCAGAGGCATGCCTGCTCATAGATCACAAAGGTTCCGTGATCACATTGATAGCAGTTTTCGACGCTGGGTTCCTCTCCATCGCGAGGATCGTAGTCATGGGCCTTGTTAAGCGCTTCGACCATCAACGGGCCAATTAGCCCCCCGTGGCCGCACGCATGACACGTGTATCGGAAACGATCATCGTTGTGCTCTACCAGCTCTCCCACGTCCAATGAGTCTTGCGAAGGCATTAGCAAGGAGGAGGCACACTCCTCGCACTGGCACTCATCAAGCCAAGGCTCCATCCCCTTTGGAACCCCTGCATCACTCCAAGCCTCTTTGCATTGCCTGCTCGTATCCACAAAGAATTTGTGATGCAGCAACATGATTTGCCAGGTCTCCGCCAGAATTTCAGCCGGTGGCTCCTGCAACTGGGTTTGAATGAAGTCTCGAAGCACAGGGAATAGCTCAGCTACGAAATCCGCCACCTCACCCAATGTATTGGCAGGGTGCAGATGCTCCAGGTGGTTACGACATTTCTGCAACTTGTTGATGACGCCCCAGTCGACCTCGATATCAAACGCTTCGAAGCGTTTTTGGATCGTTGCAACATCAATGGTTGTGGGCTTGAACTTGCCCACAGGTAGCCATTCGACCCCGCGCGCCCCATCGCTTTGGGGCAGAACCTCAGGAGGCATGAAAATTAGGGCAGCAGCGTCAGCGGGATCATCGACGCAAGTGGCGATCTTGTATTTGAATAGCAAAAGTACGCCAGCGAATAGATTCCGTATCGCAGAGAGGCTCGCGCAGGATCCCCCCCCTTCGTCAGGTTGACGTAAGCACCGCTCGAAATCCTCGACGCCCAATCGAATTGACGTCAAAGCATTCTCACGAAGTTTTTCTGCATCGAGCTCGGGGATTAAACGTTGTTGAGCCAATTGGTGATGCTCCTGATCCGATCTGCGCTATCAACATAGTCAATGAGTCTAGGTGCCTCGAGGCTTAGCCCTAGCGGTGGCTTCTGCGATCAAGGGGTCGTCAGGCCAAAAATGCTTAGGGTATCTCCCCTTAAGGTCTTTCTTCACTTCGTCGTACGTCGACTTCCAGAAGTTTGCTAAGTCCTGGGTGACTTGCACAGGACGTCGCGCTGGCGATAACAAATGGAGCTTGAGTACCTGCCGTCCGTTGGCAATTCGCGGTGTGTCTGCAAGGCCAAACAACTCCTGGAGTCTCACAGCCAGTATGGGAGGACGCTCGCTGTAGTCGATTCGAATGTTCGATCCAGAAGGCACACCAATCGTCTGAGGTGCCTGTGCCTCGAGTTGCTGCGGCAACGGCCACGGCAAAAGGGAGCGCAGAATTGATGGTAGATCGATCTGCCCAAAGTGGCTGAGCCTTGTTACCTTCCCGATGTAAGGGGCAAGCCACTCCCCTAGAGACTCCAGAAGCACTTGGTCACGAAGATCTGGCCAATCACTTGTGCTCCCCTTCTCCAAATCCAGATCCCGCAAAAGCGCTACACGCGCTTGCCACTGGCGCAACTCTGGAGTCCAAGGTAAGAGTTCAATTCCCTTTCGCCGGATGTAATTGATCAACGCCTGGATGCGGGCTTCGTCATCAAGGTTTGTCAGAGGCACAGAGGAAAGTACCAAGTCCCCGACCTTCAACTGTCGCTCCGCTCGAAGCACGCCTTCTCGCTCATCCCAGTCCAGCTCGTCCACCTGACGGACTTGCTCCTTCAGAACGGAGTTGAACAGTTCCTCATCCAAGTCAGCAGCCAGATAGATGCGCTCTTCACGTTGACCTTGGCGACTGCCCAGATCAGCGATCACCAACCATGAATGCTTCATCAGCAAATCGCTTTCAGTAAACGTAGCTGCACGGCCATTGGCGAGACGGTACTCAGCACCACCAGGGCGACGTTGTTGGGCGACACGGTCGGGGTATGCCAGGGCCAATAGAGCTCCCACCCACCGTGGGTGCTTAGGATCCGTCACCGGGTCGGCAATGGGGCCGCGCAGATAAGAACGGTATTGCTTGGCAAGCTGCCTAGCACGTTGCGTACCGCCTTGCTCGGAACGCTCGGCACGCTGCTCTCCAGAAACGATTGCAAGGCGACTGTGGATATCCGCACCGGCGCCACGCTGGATATCACGTTCCCCCAGTAGAGCGGCGATATCGCATGCAAGATGTCCAAGACCGAAAGCATGACCTCGCAGAAGCAGATGGGCTATTCGCGGATGCGCCGGCAATTCCGCCATGTCTTGGCCATGCTTTGTGAGCTTCCGATCCTCACCCAGAGCCCCCAAGCGAACTAGAATGTCACAGGCTTGAGAATAGGCAGCTGCAGGCGGGACATCCAACCATTTCAGATCTGTAGGAAGAACACCCCATCTGGACAGCTGCAGAGCTAGTCCAGCGAGATCAGCCTGCTGTAATTCAGGAGTACCGTAGGCTGGCAGTTGATCGTGCTGAGCCTCTGACCAAAGCCGATAACAAACACCAGGCTCGAGACGACCCGCACGTCCCGCCCGTTGAGTCGCGCTCGCTTTCGATATTCTCTGCGTGTCCAATCTAGTCATCCCACTACGCGGGTCGAATCGAGGTACCCGTTCAAGTCCAGAGTCGATAACTACTCGAACACCTTCGATAGTCACGCTGGTCTCGGCGATGTTGGTAGCCAGCACAACCTTTCGCTTTCCTGCAGGAGGTGGATCAATCGCAGCTCGTTGTGCAGTTAGCTCAAGTTCTCCATGCAAAGGGCAAAGCAGGACGTCTTCTCGATCACCCAAGCGATCTTTTAGGGTCTGATGCACTCGCCGTATTTCGGCCTGCCCAGGTAGAAACACCAAGAGACTTCCACCCTGCTCTTCCAGAGCATCCAGGCATGTCGAGACCACGCGCTGGTCAAGATAGTCGCTTGATTGATACGGAGCTCCCAGATCGTCGTGACCGGGTACATCCGGCCTTCACTGGTGACGATAGGGGCATCGTCGAGCAATCGAGAGAGTCGCTCCCCCTCCAGCGTTGCGGACATTAGCAACACCTTGAGGGGGAAATCGTCTCGCAGCATCTCGCGGCCATTGAGCGTCAGTGCCAAGGCCAAATCTGCATCAAGATTGCGAAGATGGAATTCGTCGAATATGACCAGGCCCACACCTTCAAGTGACGGATCCTCTTGCAGCCTGCGAGCAAGAATTCCTTCGGTCACGACCTCGATACGAGTTTTCGGCCCTACCTTGCTCTCAAGCCGAATACGGTAACCCACCGTTTCGCCCACCCGCTCACCAAGCTCACCCGCCATTCGCTCAGCAGCCGCTCGCGCTGCGAGTCGTCGAGGTTCAAGCATAACAATGGTCTGACCTTCCAGCCATGACTCGCCAAGAAGGGCAAGCGGCACTCGCGTGGTTTTACCTGCTCCAGGAGGCGCTTGTAGTACGACCTCATTGCGATCATTCAACGCAATTAGAAGGGCCGGTAGGGCGGCATCGATTGGCAACGTAGTCATGCAGGCTCCGAACTGTAGGATGCCAGTATAAGGTTGTCAGGGAGTACGATGCATGGGTAAGCAAGAGATCATGACTTGCGCATAAGAGTGCAGCAGGTATATGAACTAACATTCCGGGGAATCATTTTCTCCCCGCCCCTCCCTTTCATGAACTGCAGCTCCAGCTCCCAGGCCGGAAAATCTCGGCCCTGATAGTGACGACTGCGTTTTATAGTGAACGACCCTATGGAACTAGCCCCCTTCGATACTGGCAATGACAACACGATGTTCATTTGCCTCGAATGCATAGGGGATCCTATGCTCAAGGGATTCAAATCGCTGCCTAAGTCCGAGGTCACCTGTACCGCGTGCAACAGCTCGACTCGGCGAGCTGTTCATCCCGCACGAATTGCGCGTTTCATACGCAAGCACCTACCGACACACTTTTCTGTCGACGATGGGCTCTATGATGGTTATGAGATGTCGCTGGCAGAGGTGGTGAGTAGGGCCATTCGATGCAACAACTCAGTCGTCTGCGAAGCCATCGCGCAAAAAATGGTCAGCTCCCGCGTACGTGAAGACGACTTCTACTGGCAAGGCCAAGTGTATTGCGTGAAGCGCAGCCCCTTTGACGACGAAGAACATGAACGCTGGTGGATCGTTGGTGACTGGCAAGACATTGCTTATGAACTGAGCCATGAGCGTCGGTTCTTCAGCGACAAGGCACGCAAATTCTTTGAATCCCTCCTTCATGAGGCATTGAGTGCAGAAAGACCGTGCAGCCCTGGAACGCCAGCGGTCATCAAAACGCTACTTTCAGGTACAAAGCTATATCGTGCTCGCGTCGCAGCCAATCCAACTGAGGTTCAGCATTTCAAAAGCAACCCTTTGGCCGAGTTGGGTGCACCACCTCTGGATCGCGCAAAAATAATCGGATGAGCGCCGCAGGCTTTTTCATGGATGTACGTATCGCAGGACGCCAGCACTTGCATCCGTGAGGTGTTACCCAATCAGGAGACACGGTCGTGGTGGGAGGGTTTGTGTCCACTAGACCGCTGAGGATCTTTGACCTCAATGCACTGAGTCATCGACTGAAGCATGCGCCGTTAAGTTTTTTTAGCCCTGACTATGAACAGCTCAGCAATCACCGACAGCTTTTGAGGTATCTCCACGACGAGATTGCTCAGCCTATCGAACGCCCTGAAACCGACTACGTGATGACTCAAGCTTTCGCCGAATACATTCGTTGCTACGCGCCGCATCACTTTGATGGCATCAGTTATCGCTCTGTGCAGCATCCCGGCGGGATCAACTATGCGCTGTTCGCTATAGACAATGCCGAGCGCGTGCGATCACCTTACAGCCGTCCGGCATTCGACCTGGTGATAGCGGCGATTCCGTGACACTGCACGTTGCAGAATGAGTCGGTGCACGGTGCCGTGCAGCCTGGAACAAAAGCCGTCGCAATTTTTAGAGCTTCGACGATCTAGCAGCCAGCTTCAATCAAAGCACCAATTTTCAAATTGGAGAGAGTGAGCCCAGTGAAAACTGTGGTTCATTGGTTTTGAATTTCACGCTCAGTCAATGCCGGATTAGCAGCTTACCTTCCGGCGCACACTGCCGCCTTCCAAGCTCACATCTGGAGAAATTTAATTCGCGAATCGGCACCTGTTATGAAACCCGCCCATGATCAGCTGTACATAAACACAGCTCTTAAATTGCTGTTCACTAAATATGCCAGTTCCAGCTAGACCTGCTAATGGCCTTTTGCTAATTTCCAAGTGAATCCAAAGCTACTGGATGAAAGCAGGCGACTGATGCCCCGCATCAGTGTACTTCGGAGGGTAACGATCAGCATCGCCTCCTGACGAGTTTCAAAAAGGCAGGCATGCATTGATTACGACACCACTCGGTAAGTACACAGGGATAACCTGGGAAGCAGAATGTCAGCTCGTGTTCAAATTCAAGCACGGAGCAGATGGTTATCAGCAAGTTCCCGCATCTCCGGGTGATTATGGCATCGAAGGCTTTACTAAGCGCACTGGTTATGCCTTTCAATGTTACTGCCCTGAAAAGCAGTACCATCAGGATGAGCTATATGAAAACCAGAGAGATAAAATTAATAAAGACCTTGGTAAACTAAAGAAAAAACACCACAGAATTGCAGAAAATTCTCGGGGACACCAAAATTTCAACGTGGTGTTTCGTCACGCCTGAAATCAACAGAAACAAATTGCTCTCCTATGCTCAGACCAAGCAAGCAGAGGTAAGGGCATGGGACTTACCGCACTTAGACAAAAACTTCACCATCCTACTGCACGATCATGAATTCTACGTGCAGGAGTTCAACACACTGAGAATATCAGCAGGCTTACCTCCATGCCTGGGCTCGCCAACAGAAATGTTGCCGAAAGTGAATACGACTCTTGAGCCATTTGACGAAAACCTTGCCAGAAAATGTAGTTTACGAATGCCCGGAAAACCTGCCAGACAGGTGGAAAGCTTGGTAGTTCTCACCACAAAATCTTTTCTAGATCACGATACTTATTTTCAGTCGTTGTACGACCGTTCGCCCTCAGACTTATGTAAACGTTGCACGCATCGTAAATGCCTTCGAGTTAGAAGTTCAAGAATGGGGACTCACGTCAGATGCAACACCTGAGCAGCTAACAGAACTGGTAAAGACCAGGCTGATGGATTTCTTGGTCACCGACCGCAACCTAAACATTGACAAGTCTACGGCAAGCGAGGTGGTGCGAAGAACCATTGCTCGCTGGCTTGCGATCTGTGAACTGGACTTCAACGAGTAAATTATGGCTCAGCTTAAATTCACAAGGCGGCCCATCCCCGTTCTTTTCAGAACTTCGTCCAATATACAAAATATCGCAAGCACTTCTTATACTGTATCTGTCGTGCCGTGGTGCAAAAGGCAGCCTTCCAAAAATCCATCTTCTAAACTGGGCGCTCAAAACTCCCGAACGTATAAAAGGTCTTGCAATAGGAGCAGAACATGGTCAATTACATCTCTCCCATTTGGGGTTTTGATCCGGCCATGGCAATTGCATTGAACCTTGCATTCAAGGATTCCCTGATTACACCCACAACGAACGGCTTTGAACTCAGCCCCAAAGGAAAAGCCTACGTGAACCTGATACTTACTGACGAAAGTATACTCAGCGAGGAAAAGCCGCCCTAAAATCAATCGGAAAAAAAATTGCGGAAGACATGGTAGATTCCGTTTCCAAGGGATGGGAATAATTATGTACATTAAGGCGATCAAGATTGATATCCAGACAGCCAGCGGCCCGTTTGGATTTTTTTAATACTTTCAATCGTAATCTGATACATCAGGGGCCGTAATTCCGCTCGGCAAAGTACAATTGTACATGCGATCATGTACGCTATTGGCATGGAAGAATTACTAGGTGCCCAGAATGAAAATGCGCTGACTTACGCCCTAAAAGATCACCTTGAACAGGAGAACATCAAACATGCTATTCGCTCATCCAAAAGTAACAATCGAAATTGAGAACAAAAGGCAAACAATTCACTGCCAATTGAAGTGTGAAAGAAGAAGGACTTAGCACAAAAACTTATACAACTACAGGAGTGTTCGAGCCTGACCGAGGGACAGACCGCTCCCAGCTCTCTACAAGTTTCTTCATGACGGTGGTAGCACGAAAATTCGAGGAAGGCTTGCCACACCTACTTCTCGAAAAATCCAGACTTGGGTGACGTCTTGGTACCTAAAACCAATGGCAAACCTGAAAACTTTATTTAGCAGTAATGTTTTGCTGCAATGATGGTTGAACAAAAAAACGTGGGTGGACTGACTACATCGCCAATCTAATCTACTTCGGGATCCGGGATGCAC